ATTCTGATTTAAAATTTCTGTAGGCTCAGTCTGGGTGCAGCGCTTTACTTCTCTCTGAAGTAAAAAAAATATAGGATGATTTATCTCTGAGACAAAAATAGGAGACCTCTTTTTTGAGATCTTAGATTTTATTAGACACTGGCCTTAGAGCCATTTAAGCTTGGCATGGAATTATTAATAGTTGAGAGGCATCTTTACTGCTTTCTGCTTTACAGGGTTGGGTTCCACCTCTATCCTGAGAAGTATGAAGGTTAGGGCTTTCATGGTGGCTTGGGCTATATAACTTTAGCACTGGAGGTACTTAGTCTGATTTCCTCATTTTACAGATGAAGAAACTTTGCCCAAGAGAGCTTAATTCTCTTGCCAGAGGTCACATGATTTGTTGCAGAGCCAGAGTGTAAATTTGGAACTCTTGACTTCTAATGCAATGGTTTCCCCTCCACTATTTCACCTCACCTCTCCACTTCTACTTTTTTCTGAGATGTGGACATGGCAGCATAACAGTAAATGATTCCGATGATGCTCTGTAGGCACTGCTTACATTAATAATAATGATGACAATGTCCCACATTTGTGTTTGCTTTTCAAAACTTGTATAGCTTATTGTCTGCCACTGTCTGTTTTACAAGTGATCAGATTGATTGTTTGGTTAATCCATCTATCATTTTGAATAAAGTGTTGTAGTCACCTTACTCTTTATAACTTGAATAGCAGGGCTGGGGATAAGTGAAATCTTACGGTATAACCCAGTTTTTGTTTTGGTGTTCTTTTTGTACCACATTGTTCTTTTTAATCAACAGAGCTGCTAATGAAAAGCAAAGTTGACTTGTTTAAATTGTGGATCTTTCCATTTACCTTGACCTTTCTCAGTTGGATGTCCTTGAATGAAGTGGAATGGCTAACAAGCAGGGAGAAGAAGAAGGAAAAGAAAAATCTTGAATAATCCATAAACTTAATAGTCAATTCTTGAAAACATTGACATATGCTTAGCCTTATGACATTTTAAATGCTCTAATTATAATGTTTTAAATAGGAAAACAAGTGTATTTTCTATCATATCCAAATTAGTATGCATATTATTTAATGCTGTTTATTTATTTTGGAACTTGATTCTATATCTTGCAAAGGAATAATTTTACATTTATTTTCTGTTTTAAGTCTTCCACTTTCTACTGTATTGTGTTACTCTGGTGCATCTAATGTTAATATTTGATGACTCTATTTCAATAAGAAACTTAAAATTTTGGGGCCGGCCCCATGGCGCAGTGGTTAAGTCCGCACGTTCTGCTTCGGTGGCCCAGGGTTCGCCGGTTTGGATCCCGGGTGCGGACATGGCACCGCTTGACAAGCCATGCTGTGGTAGGCGTCCCATAAATAAAGTAGAGGAAGATGGGCATGGATGTTAGCTCAGAGCCAGTCTTCCTCAGCAAAAAGAGGAGTCTTGGCAGCAGATGTTAGCTCAGGGCTAATCTTCCTCAAAAAAAAAAAAAAGAAAAGAAAAGAAACAAAATTTTGAGCGTGATTGATTGATTACTTTTGGTTCAGTGTAAGGAATGGTGAAGGTAGAATCATAGCTTTTTGAATAACTCAGCTGGTACCGTGTTTTAATCAATTTTGTGCCTCTCAGTGCTTGTCATTTTACCTAGTGCAGTGGTTCTTAACCAGGGACAATTTTATCCCCCAGGGGACATATGGTAATGTCTGGAGACATTTTTGATTGTCATGACTAGGGTGAATGCTATTAGCTTCTCGTGGGTGGAGGCCAGGAATGCTGCTAAACATCCTATAATGCATTGGACAGCCCCCACAACAAAGAATTATCTGGCCCAAATATCAGTAATGCCAAGATTGAGAAACCCTTATGTATGGTAGTTGCACAATAAAGTATATTGAATTAAAAAATACATCCATTCTGTTAGTGTAAGACTTTATGTGTTATTTTGTATGTGTATTTACATACCAATTTGATGTTTCATAAGGGAGAATTTAGCTTTTTCCTTCATTATGTTTAAGCTTAAAACAAAATTTGGCAATTATAATTGATTTTAAGTTAGTTGTACTCAGTTGAAATAGTATATTAGAATTTAAATGTTAATCAACAGTAAGATTCAATGTTCTGATTTTGGATTTACTGTCTCCCTTAAGGTTTTCAGCTTCTTGGAATCAATAACATGTATTATTCCCTACAGTATTTCTACCTAGATCTGACATAATCAATTCTCTGGAAAAGTTAATTATACAGATGTCTCAATCAGTAATTGATCCCTGTCCTATTGTATTCTATTTAATCTCATCTTTCAAGTTTAAGTCTAAGATACTAAATAGAATCTGCTGAATCCAACAGCTCGCAAAACAGGACTTCAGCTTCATGCAACGAAGCTAGAGTGATTCCCACAATCCCAGAGAGGCAGAAGCTAAATTATAATAGAGTTGTTTGCCATATGTGCATCATTTCTAATCCTACTTTACAACGACTACCTCTGTTGACCTGGTTTAATTTGGACAAAGCCAACTGTTTTAACAAGGAGATAAATCCTTAACAGGTGTTTTGGGTAAGGAATGGGAAGGGGTAGGGGATAACTTATAGGGGAAGAGTATTGAAAACACCTCAGTGCTTTATGACCATACAGAGACCATGTGGTAACTTGGAATTTCTTCTGAAATCGTCATAAATGCCACCCTTAGCTGGAAGATTAATGGATAGTAATATCTGATGCCTCTCATTTCAATATGGTGCTTGTCAGAAGAAAAAACCCACAGCTGGAATCATGGCAGTTGCTGTCCTTTCCTTTTTGTTCATGTTTAACTAAACATGACCTACTGAACTCTCCATGTAAGAAGTTCACCTGATGTGACATACCTGAGAAGCTGTTAGGATTTGTAACATTTGTTTCTGAGTGTCTAGGGCAACTAGAGTAGAAGCAAATTCTAGATAGGTTTAACTGCCAAAGAGTTTGGAATTGGGAAATGTGATTTTGATATGATTTTTGAGTTTTGGCATAGAACTCACTTGGAGCGATCCCTTAGCAATGGCAGTAATCTGATCAGTCAGAAATAGCCTGTGCTTTAACAAACAGGAGGCTGCCAGCATGTGAAGTTAGTGCATGATAAATTAGGTGAGGTTGAGGAGAAAATAAAGAGATGGTGTTATAATACCCAAAACTGTGTAGTAGTGTCAGAGAGGTGTTTAACGTGAGTGTTTCAGTGTGATGGATCCGCCATACTTTTCTGTTTAAGAGAGAAAAAAAATCAGAAAACTTCCTAACTCCTAACCTCCCTCTTCTGTGGTTTTTTACTTGTAATGGTTCTTAACCTTGGCAACACATTGGAATTGCTGGAAGAGTTTTTAAAAATTACTAGTGCATGGGCTCCAGTCCCAGCAACTCCAATATATTGAGGCCTGGGCATTGATATTTTTTAAAGAGCTCCACAGATGAGTCTAACCTGCAGCCGGGATTGGGAACCACTGCTTTATAGCAGGGCATTGGAATTGTCTGGAGGGCTATTTATTAATAGGTCTAGGCTGGGACCTGAGAATTTATTTGTACTTCTAACAAGTTTGAATTTGCATTTCTAACAAGTTTCTAGCAATATCCCAAGTGATGCTGATATTGCCAGTAAGGTGATCACATTTTGAGAACCACCAAGAAGGCAGTCTTAAAAAACCATCTGGGGGCCTAGTGGTTAAGCCTGGTGTGCTCTGCTTCAGTGGCCCAGGTTTGCAGGTTCGGGTCCCTGGTGCGGACCTACACCACTTGTCAGCCATTCTGTGGCAGTGACCCACGTATAAAATAGAGGAAGATTGGCACAGATGTTAGCTCAGGGCTAATCTTCCTCAAGCAAAAAGAGGAAAATTGGGAACAGGTGTTAGCTCAGGGCCAATCTTCCTCAAGCAAAAAGAGGAAAATTGGCAACAGATGTTAGCTCAGGGACAATCTTCCTCAGGTAAAAAAAAGAGGAAGATTGGCAACAGATGTTAGCTTGGGGGCAATCTTCCTTAGCAAGAAAACAAACAAAAAACCATTTGGGTGCAACTGATTGTTCTTATTTTTGAATCATTGCTAGTAATATATTGTTGGGTTAAAAATTAAGATTAAAGTATAGCATTATGTATATGATTCCTTTATGTAAAAAAGATTGATACTTCTCTATTTGATTTTTTTAAATGAGCATTTTTAATTTTATTTAAAGAAATTTTTGGAGGAAACAGCCACATCAATAGTAACTAAAAACTTTGCATAGTACTTTGTAGTATAAAAAGCTAAGGAATTTACAATTTCTAGTAGGCTTTTTGAACTATTTAAAATAACTTGTTTGTGCTTTTTTCTTTTTTTTGACCCTGTTTTTTGAGACTCCTTCAGATTTCAGATCTTATGTTTTATATAGTCTTTTTAGGTATCTTAATGAATGTAGCCCAAATAAAAAGATTCATCCTTATTCAGCAGACATTTCAATTTGGACAGTTTGTTATTTGAGATGGGAGAAATATATATTTTTTACTTATCTTAAGCTGGGGGAACACAGAGCCATACATTAAGAAGAATGGGGGTAAGTGGGGACAGAGACAGAGAGATAGTGCTTAGGAGTTGGGGTAATGTTAGAGGAAATGGAACCTTCCCAGGTTTGGAAAGAGAGCAGCAGGAGGAGGCAGCCCATGACTTCCAGGAATGAAGGCGTCAAGAGGATGGATATGAGAGAGCTTCTGGATTCAGGAGCTTGGTCAAAGTCATAGAGCTATTAAATGGCAGAGTCTGTTCTCAGATTTGGGTCTCTAAGATTCCGGGATTCATTCTCTTTTCTTCAAAACAGTTAGATAAAGGAAAAAATGTCAGTTCTCAGGGACCAACTCTGCAACAAATGCAGCAAATGATAGTTTTGTGACAACTACAAATCCTGAAAAAGTCTCTAGATAGCATTGGCTTTTTTGCTGCTGTATTTGTTTATTGAGAATGTGTCATCCTGAAATGACAGCTTCCAATGTGACTCTCTGTGTTCTTCAGAAATCATCCTCAGCCTCTGATCACTGTGCTTGAACACAGACCTGATTGCTGGCCAGTACTTTTGCAGCAGCTGACAACTTTTTTCCAGCAATGCCCTGAAAGGTAATGTAAAATAAGGTAAATGAGGGAGATGGAATGGTATATGCTAATTTTAGAGTTCATTTTTGTTTTTTGTGTTTTTAGCTGCTTTGGCTGTAATGTTTTCTTCTGAAGAAAAGAAGTATCTTAGGGCAGGATATAGTTTTCTGTTTTCTTTTTGAGTAAGAGAAAAAACCTACAAGATTTATTGATTGTTAAAATATTGAATATGAGTAAAGCTGTTATTAAAGAAGTTAAGCATTTGTTAGTTACGACAGTTAATTAGAAATATTTGGTAAACTATTACACAATACATATAGAAGATAGATTCTTCCCCCTGGAAATTGATTAGTGAGTTAATCTCTCCATTAGAAACTTGGCGATTGGGATCAAGTAATTACTGCCAGCTGGGACCAGATAGCCACCATATGTACAGTTAGTTTAGTTTCATCATGGCCTCCCGATGGTCCTCAAAGCTACCCACCTTCTTCCATTCTTACCATTATGGCCCTGGCTCAGGTCATCATCGTTATTTCCTGCTGTGGCTGTTACTAACTGACATTTCTGCATCCAGTCTCATCCTACTCAAATCCATTTTTTAGACATCCTTCAAGGTCATATATCAAGAGGGCAAATCTTATGGTATCACTCCCTTGCTTAAATCGCCACCACTGTAGTTTTCAAACCATACTCGTAATGTATGGGCTAAGCACAGGGAACACTCCCAACTCTTCAGCTCTATTTTTATAGAATTCACACATTGATATCTTATGGAAGCTTTCTGTTGGAACAGTAGTTTGGTTTCTGAAATAGTTGGAAAATCCCTAGGCTACAGGGTAAAATCCAGTATGTTAGGCTAGGCTGTGTGTGATATGGTTTCTACCTGTTTTGCAGTTTTATCTTCTCTTTATATCACAATTTATGAATTGTGCATTCAGTGGTACACTGACTTGCTTGGGGTTCCACGCAGGAAACAGTGCTGTTCCCTTGCCTCTGTGCTTTTGCTTATTAGTAGCCCCCCCCCTCCCCCGCCCCCCACTCTCTAGAATCTTACCCTAGCCCTTTCCTGACTAATTTCTCTATTTTAAATCTCTGTGTAGGCATTCTCTGTCCGAGAAAGTCTTTGTGTATCAAGCTGGATTAGGTGTCTCTTTTACATGCTCCCGTGATAACTTCACTTGTGATTTCTAACATCATTATACTTGCTGTGTTGTCTTATAATTACTCTCCTCTATCAACTGTGAAACCTTCTTGAGGGCAAGGACTGTGTCTCATTATTCTTTGTATTAATAATTCCTGGCACTTTTCTAAGTGCTCTGTAAATGCTGAATTTATATACATGAGGCTCACAGATTGGTGGGGCCCAGCCAGTGGGTTGTAGAGTGCCTCCTAATGTATGATATCACTACATCCTTAGTCCCATCACACAAAGTCATGATAGGGTACCGTTGTCCTGGTAATCCAATGCATGAGTTATATTCACCACACCAGCTACATTCATGTTTTCTTGCTCTTGAAGGTCTTACAGTGTCCTATAGATACAGTTTCTTAAAACACCATTTCTAAGTCCATAACTTCAATTTTAGATGGAATTTCTAGGCAGGATGTACTGCCATGGGCAGTTTTAAAGAGATATAGGGAAACTCGTAATCATCTGCCAGTGAGAAAAGTCTATGTTAACATTTGAATGAATAGCTCAAAATAAACATCACTATCATCCTCTCTTTTCTCATGTAGGATTACATTTTTGAAGGTAAGGTGCTAATATATACTAAATAGGTCTTTGTTCAACTATGTCAGAAAGCAAAAATAATGAATTTATAAACATATTTGTTTAATAAAATTTGTCTCTTTTGTTAAATAGGTTGGGTAACTTTATAAAAGACGCTGCTGCTGAGGTGCCAAATTGGTTATTAAGCTTGTTTTTATGGTAATCCTTAAGAATATCTCTCTTTCCCAATACTTTATGAGTCAACAAGTAATTAATTTACCCTTTGGTTATTTTCATTTCAAAGGAGTATTATATTGGGATTTGGGAGTAGTTGTTCTAATGAAATTTGTCTAGATATTCATAAAGAAAAAAAGATAATTAATTGACTTTGGTTTATTTACTGATAAGCTTCTATTGACTTAATCCTTTCATTTAAATTCTCAGGTGTTGGAGTATGCTGTCTAGAGCCTTTTAGAAGTTCTAAATTATTTTCTATTTATTTGCAAAGAGTAATTTCAATTGCCTCATTCTACTTTTGCACTATGGGATTATTCTTTGCAAGATGAAGTTGATAATTCTGGTTGCATTTTTCAGCACACTGTTAGTTTGTGAGATTTAGTTTTCGAATAAGTTAACTTAGTAGTTTTTAAGTTGCTGTTTAGAAGGTAATGAAGGAAGGTTGGTAACAAGAATATAAATAGCGATTCACAGTTATGGGAAGGAGGCAAATGGTTGTGAAGATAGCTTGTATTTTAGCTCTTTCTGTGTTAGGAATTGTTTATTAGAGTAGCTGTTTGTGTTCATTTTTAGTAGTCTGTAGATGTCCTGAAATGACAGCGTATCTTCATGCTAGATTTTTGGGGGCATTATTTTCTTTCTTTTTTTTTAAGGAAGATTAGCCCTGAGCTAATCTCTGCTGCCAATCCTCCTCGTTTTGCTGAGGAAGACTGGCCCTGAGCTAACATCCGTGCCCACCTTCCTCTACTTTGTATGTGGGACGCCTACCACAGCATGGCTTGCCAAGCGGTGCCATGTCCACACCCGGGATCTGAACTGGTGAACCCTGGGCTGCTGAAGCAGAATGTGCGAACTTAACTGCTGCGCCACTGGGCCGGCCCCATGGGCATTATTTTCTAATTAAATTCTGCATTCATTTGTACAAGGCTTGTGATGTTAAGGCTTCACTTTCATGGAACTGAGAATTGTGTAAATTGACAATGATGCCATGGTTCTTAGGCCTGGATACTTTAATGTTGTCTAGTCTAACACATAAATTTTTCAGATGAGGAAACTAAGGAGAACAACATTAAGTGACTTGTTCAAGGTCACATGGTTAGTTAGTGGCAGAGTTGGGCCTAAAGCCTCAGTGTTTTGACTCTCATTTCAGGTCTTTTTCTAGTACTTCTCCCACAGTGGTGAACATAAATATGAAAGACTCGTGTATATATACATGCACAACTAGTGACATTCTTAACCACTGTTAATCACTTTGGGATTTCAGATTATCTGTTTTATTATTTCTCTTTTCTCCTTAAGCCCTGTCAATTTCGTATTCCACTGAAGTGATAGTTAATCATCAGATAGCACATGGGACACGCGAAATCTAAAATCAGAATAGGGTAAGCCAAGGAGATTTTTAAATAGTATATTGTCCTTAAGGAAGCTCGACATGCTCCTGATGTCAAATAAAAACAGCATCTTAGAAATATATTTTTTTATATGAACCTTGCATTTCACCTTCAGCATCCTAAAGTAGGAGAAAACTGATAAGCTATTTGTGGACATTCTTGACACTTGGATAGTATTTATTCTCTGGGGAATACATTATTAGAGAGAGATGAGGAAACAATGTTTTTAAAATCTCTTTTCTGGAAACTTATTCTTCATATTCTGACCCATACATACATTATCTGCTTGATTGATCCGTGAAGCTTTATTTAGTTTCCCAACGTGGATGATGTGATAAAGATTTATGTTTTAGTAATAAGTATGAACTCAAAAGTCCTCCTTTTGAGTTTTTAAGGTTGTGTATTTGTACTCATGCTAGAAAAAAAGATTCCTTCAGACTGTGAACTCCAGCAGAGCAAGGATTTAATCTGTTTATGTTTCTTGCTTTGTTTCTAGCTCATAGAAGAGTGAATGGTGTACTGTGGGGACTCAGTAAATTTTGCCAAGCAAATAAATGAATGAATGAATAAATTAAATCTTATCAATTTGGTAGCTTTTACATTTTTATTAATGTTAATGGTGTTTTGAAATCACATTGCTGGGGAATGTATGGTATTATAAAATTATGTTGTCAAGCATAATTCCAATGCCATTTCCTCCATGAAGATGAAGTGTTGCACTTTTGGCCTCTCTTTTAGCAGTTTTCACTTCCTCTCCTCGAATCCAGGAACAGAACTGATTGTTCCTGTTAGATTGTGTACTTCTTAAGGATAGGTAATGCCTGGTTCATCTTTGTATTTTATCTGATAATTCCTTATATATAATCAATATGAAAAATATTAAAATTGATATTTAATTGCGTGCTAATTGTACAGTGACCCTATAACTTACTGTAACTGAATCGATTAATGATTGAGATCTCTTTGAAGGCCTAGTGTGTACAGTTATTGGTAATACAGCAGTAAACAGAAATCCGTGGTCCAAGCCCTCATTTGATTTATAGTCTGGCAGGGAATATTAAATGAATGACATGTTAAATAGTTGACAATAAAGTCATTCTCCTATAGAAGCACATAGTGGGGATCTGACCTAGGCTGTGTATCAGGGAAGGCCCTCAGGAAGCTATTGTAAAGGAGAGAACTGAAAGATGGTAGAAATTAGGCAGAGGAAGAAACAGGAAAGGGAGAAAGGGGAGAGTATTATAGGTAGAGGGAACAGCAAGTGAGAAGAAAGCCCAGAGGCTTGGTTGAAGATCTGAAAGAAATTTAGTATCGTTCAGCAGAGAACAGAGAGAAGCAAGCAGTGAGGCTGGAAAGATCAGCAGAGGCCAAATTATGGAGGTTTTGTGAATAGGGCTAAATAATTTCTCTTAGGGGTAAACTCTCTTGAGCTGGTTAACGACGTAGTCAGATTTTTATATCTCAAAAGTCATTCTGGCATTTTAGTGATTTTGGAATAGGAGTTATTGGGATATTTTGAAATCTAAATGCAGTTGTGTGTCACTTAACGACTGGGATACATTTTGAGAAGTACATCATTAAGTGATTTCGTGGTTGTGTGAACATCGTAGAGTGCACTTATGCAAACCTAGATGGTATAGCCTACTACACACCTAGGCTATATGGTACTAATCTTACGGGACAACCGTCATATGTGCCGTCCGTCGTTGACTAAAACGTCATTATGCAGCACATGACTGTAGAAAGGAGGAAGACTGAAAGATTTGTAGTGTCTTCCTCCTTTGGGAAGAGCTTAAGAGAAGGTACTTGGCAAGTTACTTCACCTCTCTCTGCCTCAGTTTCAGCATCTGCATAATCGGATTATACTGTTTTTTATTTCATAGGGTTGTGGTGAGGATCAAGTGAGTTTAAAGGCTTAAAGTGCAGTAACTTGCACACCAAAAGTGTTAACAAGTTGACAAGTAAATGTTAACTATTATCATAATCTTCTTGGGGTATCTGTATGGCCTTGTTTTACATAGAACCTCACCTGTAGAGGTTTTTTATTTCCTTTTATTAAGATTGGCACCTGAGCTAACAACTGTTGCCAATCTTTTTTTTTTCTGCTTTTTCTTCCCAAATCCCCCTAGTAGCCAAATCCCCCCAGTACATAGTTGTATATTCGCCTGTGGAGTTTTTACAAATGCATGCCTGTGTCATAGTCCTGGAGAGTGGATTCTGACATCTATAATTCTAAACAGCTTCTGAAATGATTCTGATGTTCGTGAAGGACTGGTCCTGGAGATACAGATGCTATTCTAGTGTGCAAGTGGAGACTCTCTTAGTCCTGGGCCAGGCGTGCAGTCTGGTGTTGTCATTTGCTCCAGGAAACAAAGGACTGTTTGGTGTGGGTGTAGGTAGGTCATGGTGGAATAGAAGAATCATGAAAAGAGTTACACTTGATAATATCATAGATTATGATATGTCATGAACTATAAGTTGATATTTACCTCTTACCTGCTTGGTACTCTGTTTAACTCAGTGACTGGCTTATGCATTACATGACTTACAGGTCAGAAGTTTCATGTGTCCAAATCATGGCACCATTTCTATGGTATCTATATTGTGAACCATCCCAGTTACAAGAATATGCTAGACTCAGACTAGCCCTGCTAAAAGTCTTACTTCAACCCCGGGTTTGTGACAAAGAGCAACCATCAATATTGGAACAACGGATACTTCAACTGTATTGTGAGATGGTTCCGTGTTTACAGGTAAGGCCTTTCATCCTCCTTCACTAATATACCCTCAGCATCAGTAAGTGTTGATTATTATTGTCATACATAAAGTAGGACCTATGTGATTTGTCAAATTCAGATACAATCCCAGCTCTAGAAATGCTTATAAGCTTTTGGAGATGATGAAGGAACCAAATCTAGATTTAAACATTAATATATACAGTGTTAACTAAATTCATAGAAATATAAATCAACCTAGTCCATTTTAGGATTAGTAGGAATGGAAACTTTCCTTTGTGTAAGAAAGACTTCAGGGAAAAGAATTTTGAGTTGGATTTCTCCTTGTGCTAGACACTGAGAGAGTTACAAGGAAAGAAAACACCCCTTGGTGCAAATTAGAGAAAGATGCGCCTCTAGGCAGATACAGCCCTGAGAACGCATGGCTTGATCAGCTGAATGCTGGCTAGATTCCAGTTTCCACATGTCCCCTTACAATGTATTTGCTGACCCTGATGGATCCTGCTCTTGAGAAGCTCACAGTCTAGTAAGGGAGTTAAGACAAGTATATAAATTCTCATAATTCAGAGTAGATGGATGGAAGATATTTAACAGAAATATGGATAAAATGCCTGGGGAGTTCAGGGGAGGGAGAAATTTGAGCTAATGTCTCTATCACCACAGATTTAAAAAAAAACTCTGGTTGCCATTGTGCTGTGATTTTAGGGTAGTGAACGTTTCTCAGGCCATCCTCTCCCATCGCTGAAATTTGTCCTTTGCCTAGAATCTCAGCACCATGCTGCCCAGCTGATGGAAGGAATCTGTGAATATTTTTCAAAGTGATCACTTGAGGTCAGAGATGACGTGTTTTAAGTTTGTGTTAGCAAGGAGTGACTAGAGTGGATCTTTCCTTTGTGACTTATAAATAGGCTTTCCTGTAATCAAGGCAGAGAAAAGTTAATTAAAATCAATTCTCCTGTGGCTTTTCCAAAGCCTTTGTTTTGTGTGAGCAATAAAGCAATGTATAGGCAGAACACCTTGAAATAGGGTATGCTTTTCCACACCATGCTTGCATCGCCCTGTTCTGTGTTCTTTGGTGGATGTTTGCCCTCATTTTCATGAACCTATATTGACAAGCCTAAATGATTCTAGAAGTGAGCTCTGTGGAATATTTCTGGGAATCTGTGGCTTGTTGATATAGTCAAAATAGGTGAGAAAAAAAGCAATACATCATTTGGAACTAATGGAACGAGCAACATAAGTACACTTAATCATTTAAGAAATCAACTTTATTAGAATGAAGAATCAGAGTTGAGAGAGATCTTAGCAGCAATGTAATCAATTTTCCCATGGATTACAGGTATTTCTTATACTCTTTAAAAGACAAGCGTTCTATGACAGATTAAGTGTTTGAGTTATAGGAAGCATGCTATTTTGCAAGGCAACTTTTTTTTTTCTTTCTAGCCACTAGTTCTAATTGACCTGTGTTTTCCTAGGGCTTTACCTGTTAGTCTTTCTTCTCAGAACAAAACAAAATCAGATTTCTCAAAAGCGCATCTGTGTCCTCTCGTGTGTTGTTTCTCTCTTCCTTCCTTTTCCTCCTTTATATCCTTCCATTCTTCCTTCTTTCCCTCCCTCCTTTCTTTCCTTCATCAATTTCTTTTCTTCTCCACGTGAAATGGTTTTCAGACTTTTTACTGTCCTTTGCCCGGAGTTCTCTAGTTTATTGGTGTTCAGAATGTGTTACTAGAAAAGGTTCTCCTTAAAGCTGAATACAGTACTGTCACTGTGGTCTGACCCATATGAGCACTTGAATAAAATCACATTAATTAAAAAAATTTTTTTTAGAAATAGCCGTGCCATCCTATTGACCTATGATGAAATGGTGGTCAGTGAAATGTCTGTTTCTTTTTCTTCTCATACGAGTTGCTCTTCCATGTTATGTTTGTGGAATTGTCTTTATTTGGTCTTACCTGCCTTAAATTTTACTACTGACTTTTGATTCCAGTAGTTCTTTCTTTTTAACTGTGACTCTTGTCATTGCACATTTTATTCATTGCACACAATCTATTTCTACATAAAAATAGAACATTACTTCAAAAGTATTCTGGTTAAGAATTTTGATAATGTTAAACATTAGAGAGCCTTTAATGCTAACTTGCTGAGGTTGTCTTTCAAAAATTTTTTTTTATTATGGAAAATTTCAAGTATGCATAAAAAAATGCACTCAAGGAAATATGTTGTCAAATAAACATGAGGCTTTTCTTTGTTTTAATCCCTTTCTTTTCTTGGTGGCCTTTTGCCTTTCCCATTGTATATTTGCAAAAGAGCAAGATAATTTAGCTTCTGGACTGTTCACATTTATTTTTTATAACTTAATATTTTCCTCCCCCTTGATCTTTTAATATTTTTTTCTCTTGTTTGTTAGGAAATAGTTTTTCTCTCTGTGTATAACTTATAGTCATTTTGGGTTATTATGGTGGTAACGACTGGTGAAAGGTACAGCTGGTCAACTGTAGGCTTTCCTCTTGATGAATTTAACAGACACAAGGCTCCTGATTGAAGCAGATGGTTCATTGTTTGTAATCTCTGGGAAATGCCAGTGTGTCTGCGAGCAAGACCATATCCTTAATACCAACTCCAGAATTTTGATCAGAACAGCTGGGTTTGAATTGAATTGGGATTTTCAAGAGCACCCAAGTCCTTCCTATCTAACACATTAGCCTGTTGAGAAGACACCCTACCATTTGAATATGGTCATTCATGCGTCTGCCAAGTGTGGAAATGATGCTCTCAGTTAAGGTTGTCTGAGCAAATATCTTGCAGATGAAGGGCTTAGTAGTGCGTTAAAATAACATGCTAACCCTTTACTATCAGGTAACTAAGTTGGAATTGTAAAGAGGAGAGTTCATTGGAGAACTCAAAACCAACTTTAATTAATTTCCTTCAACACGTTGGCACTCTCATATAAATTGTTTTAAAAAAAATCTGCACTCAGAGAAGTTAGAAAAATAAACAAAAAAAAAATTTATGCCAACCAGCAGTAACAGAAACAGTAGCAAATTGTATTTTGGTTAGTGACAAAAGGAGAAGGCAGAGTTGTATAGCTTAAGCTTCTTTGAGTTAATCTCCTTTAAGTCTTTATAGGTTTAGGGAAAAATATTTTGTTGTTAAAACCTCTTATATAGCTGAAAATTATCTTTTGGTTTGTATATTATTTTAATGTCATGTACGGGCTTTTTTAAACAGATGAAAGATTTGATAGAGACAACAGAAGTGATGCTGTTTATCGAGGAAGTGTATTTAAGCCTTTTGCGTCATCCCATTTTCTGGAAAATTCAGCTTGCCCAGATGACCCTTCAGCTTCTATGTGTCTGTGAAGTCAGCTTAAAGATAACTGGGGAATGTTCATCTTTAATTCACCTTTTAGAGCACAGTGTTGAATTTCTGAAGGAGGTAAGGATTGTAAGAAATTTTAATGTGTCAGTTATCACTTAAGTGGGTCTTGGTGTTTCAGTAGCTGGGTGGGTGTACTTTTTTACTTTATTGCATACCAAAGGTGTCTTGATCTAATATCATTAGATCATACTACTAATGTATTACTACTATTAATATCATTTATTATAAAAATGAGTTATTAAATGCTCTTTAGAGCATCAGTTATGGATCTACCACTGTGACATTTTTTCATTTATTCATGTGAGAACACAAGTGTTGAACATAGACTATGTGCCAGATCCTAAGGAATGCATAGATGGAAAGGTACATTCTGTGATCTCAAGGGACTTAACTACACGCAAGTAAATCATTGTAGTACAAGAAGGTAAATGCTTCTGTGGGAGTGCATTTAAACTGCAATGAGAGCACAAGTTAAGGGGAGTAGGGCATTAGTTCAGATTTGAGGAAGTCTGAGTAGGAGTTTGCCTGGTACAAACCAGAGGTTGGAAAAGGCATTCTGGCTGCAGGAACAGCATGTGCCCAAGTACAGAAACATGAGAGAGCAGGCAGGCATGGCCTGTAAAGAAAACAAGAAGGTTTTGAGCGTTGTTGAAGGATTAAGGTGTAGGAGATAAGGCCCAGCCTTGAGTTCACATTTTGTCTTCTAGGCAATGGCATGCTATTAAGATCTTTTGGCAGAGTTGCCCTCATATTTTTGTGTGTGGAGGGTTATTCTGGTGGGAGAGTGGAGGAGGGTTTGGAGCAGGGCAACAGTAATAGGACAGGAAGTGAGGAGCGATGTCTTAGACTGCTAGAGCTGCCATAACAAAATACCACAGCCTGGGTGGCTCAGACAGCAGGAATTTATTTCTCACACTTCCAGAGACTAGAAAGTCCAAGATCAGGGTGTTGGCTGATTTGAGTCCTAGTCTCTTCCTGGCTGGTAGGTGGCTGCCTTCTCCCTGTGTCCTCACATGGTGAAGACAGAGCAAGAGTAAGCTCTCTATCATTTCTTTTTATAAGGACACTAATCCTTCTGGAATAAGGCCCCACTCTTATGACCTCATTTAACTTTAATTACTTCTTTACTCCAAAACATACACCTTGGCAGTTAAGACTTCAACATATTAATTTGGGAGTGGGAAGCATTCAGTCTATAGCAAGGGGCTAATTAGGGAAATAAGAATGGGAAGAAAGAAATATAGGAGATGAAGAAGTAGAGCTTTGTGGTTGCTTAGATGGTCAAGGAGAGGGTCCTCAGTTGGGTCTCAGCTTTCTATTTTGGGCAACTGCATAGTGCCATTCACTTTGAGAAATGATGGCTGATGTTGGAGGGAAGATGATAAGTTTGGTCTTAGATATGCTTGGTTTGAAGTATTTATGAATCATAGGTAGTTGGATATATGGTTTTAAAATTCATGATAGAGCCTAGGCTAAAGGATAGATTTGTAGACATGTACTTTGGGGTGGGAGTTTTAACCATTGGATTGCATGACAGGGCTTGGGAGGGAATTCCAGGGGCTGTTGATATTTGGAGGTCCTGATAAAGAAGAGTCTGAGAAAATATGCCCAGATGGATTGCATGACAAGCAGAAGAGACAGATGACATGAAACTCAAAGGAAAGAATATCTCAAAAAGGGGACTGGTCCACAGTGTCATGGAGGGAGGATTGAAAGTAGGGGATGGAGAGTGCTCTTGGGAGGCAGCAAGTAGAATTGTTCACATTAGAGGAAGCAGGTTCAGTGGAGTGGTGATGGTTGGAAGCAGATTGGAATAGGGGAGTGAATGGCAGGTGAGGAAATGCAGGGAGTGGATGTAGATTTTGGTGAAAGGTGGGAGCTGATGAAGTTTCAAGTAAGTCGTTTGTCAATTTGTCAATCTTGTGATTAGAATGGTTTCACATATGCTGGGACTCCATAGACAATATTATTTCATGTGTTATATATTTTATTTGCTATATCTAATATTGTATATATTATCTATTATGTACAACAGTAACATCTTAATATATAGTAGCATATATTTGTGTTATATATAATATTATATATTCTCTATTATGTATAATAGTAATATACAGTAAAAATATACTACCATGTATATATATAATGGTACTATGTAGTAATAATATATAGTCTATATTACATAGTAATATAACTGATATGTATCCTATTATATCAATTATATATTATATAATTATTATTTTATCATATTATATATATCATATACCAAGCCTCTATTCTGATGTGTAATTATATGTTATAGATAATTATACCTATTAGGTATATAATAGATAATATATATGATACATTATTACATAGATAATATATAGATAAATATTATATAGAAAATATTATATAGCTAAATTACCAGGAGTTGTATGTCTTAACTGGAAATGTAACATACTTAGCAGGTAAATCCTGTGTTGTTCCTTTTTACTTGTACTAGATTCATGTGAGTAGTAGACATAATTATCAAGTATAATTTCACAGGGTTTAGTTCCTTTTGCTATCATTCTCTGATCATTTTATTGTATAGCCTCCCCCCGCCACGCACATTTAGCATACATTTATTAAGCAGCTTCCTATGGCAAACACTTTGCTGTAGCAATTAGGTGAAAACAGGCAAGGTTCGTGAAGCTTCCATTCCAGTCAAATGGTTCAGACTAGTGCCCATAAAAATCACTGGGCAGAGTTTATTAAAATGCAAATACCTCGGGCCTACCCCTAGATATCCTGCATTAGTAGGGCTGAGTAGGGCCCAAACATCTGCATTTTAAACTAGCACCCTCAGGTGATTTTTCTAATATTTTTTTGCACATAAGGCAAACACCCTTCTAAGCATCACACAGATCAAGAAATGGAGCTTTTCCAGCCACTTCCGAGATTTTCAAAGCCCAGTCCTAATCACCACCTCCTCCCTCCTGTGACTGTCCTGACTTCTATAGTAATATCCTCCTTATGTTTCTTTGTAGTTTTATCACGTAAGTTTTGTGCTACACATCATAATGCAGTCTTTTAGATATCTTTTAAACTAAAGGTGGTCCCCTTCCCTTCCTTCTCCCACTTCTTTTCTTCCTTGCAGTTTAGGTGTTGAAAAACCTGACTTATGTGAGCTGTAGAATTTTCTATATTCTGAATTTTGATTGCATCCTCATGATGTGTTTTGATGTGTTTCTCTGTTAAAAGGTACTTAGCTCTAGAGACTTGATTAGATTCAGAGCTTTTTTTCTTTTTAAAGATTTTATTTTTCCTTTTTCTCCCAAAGCACCCCGGTACATAGTTGTGTATTTTTTAGTTGTGGGTCCTTCTAGTTGTGGCATGTTTTGTTTTGTTTTTCCAAGACAGCAGGGCATGGTGTGTTCTTTCATCAAGAAGCATGTAATGTGTGTTGCGTTTCTTTTTATGGTGTTAGAAGTTGTTGATGCTCAATGCCTAGTCCATTAATTCATTAGGAGTTAAAGAAATGATGTTCTAGTTCTATCCTTTGAAATGATGTTCTAGTTCTATCCTTTCTTCTTTATTTATTAGCTGGAATACTTCTATAAAAAGAAACTCCCCTTCACCTGCTATTTCTATGCAATGGTAGGGTTTATATAGGAAAGGTAGGATGAATGCTTGACTCTTTCCCTTTTTTTCCCAATTTCTAAAAGTATTATTATGAACTCAGATTTGAGCATATTTGATGCATTTCAATCTCTTACAGATAATATCCTTATTAAAGTTCAAGTTGTCCTATTTTTGGCCAGTAGGAATCTCTTCAAGTTGGCTATTGAGTCCAATTTTTAAAATACTTTCGATTATAATATTAGAATCACATACTTTGATTTAGAACAATGAAATGATGAAAGAAGGTCATATTTGTATTGTGTTTTCCTTCTGCCCAATATTTTAACAATTTTAGAAGGAAGTAAAAATAAGTAGAACTGTTGAAATAGTTCTGTTATGAAATTTCCTTCCCCACCCCACCCTCCCAGTGTTCCTGAGGTGGAAAAAAAAAAAAAGCCTTGGAAATTAATTTGCAAACATATATCCTTTAGGCCTGTGTACACTAATTTGAATCAAAACGAAGTAGAATAAGGCAGTCTTATTACCTATTTTGGGGCTATACCTATATTCTTATATTACTGAGTTTATCGGCTGGTTATTCAGTTCAAATATTAACATTAACTTTCCTTTTCTCCCTTGTTCTCTTTCTGCTCTTATCGTGAAGATCTTTCATTGCACAGTGAAAATGGTTGTGTATCTTAGGCTACCTTAATTTCAGTGGATTTGGTCTTAGTTGAGCTATTTTTAGCCTTATTTGAATCATCATAACGTAAGGTCTTTTCCAATTCAAGCAAAATATATGTACTCTGAACAGCAAAATTAGGCAAAAATGATATTGATTGTGAGGAGACTGGGAGCTCAGAAAGTGAAGCAAGAGCTAACCATCCTGGCTTTGGTAAGGTGAGGATGTTCTCTGAAACATCACCGTCAGATGATGCAGTTCTATCCACCTTTCTTCACTGTGTGTCTCAGTTTAAGTTTTCAGATTCCTGGGAAAAACGATCTAGTTGGCCCAGCTTGGATCAGTCAGCTCTGACCACAGGACAGGGTAGGGAGAAAAGCCATGGCACTGGGGGATTGTGTGAGCTGGGCTGCCACCTCCATTGTGTCTGCTACAGATAGATACTTACCTCTGATATCGCCTTTCTTACACCTTGTTCATAGAGGCATCCCTAGGTCCAACATATGTACCTAGTGCTTAGTACATAGGTAGTGCTCAGTGATATCTCTCATTTGAACTGAGGACAAAAAAATGTGGACTCCAAGCGTTTGCTGTCATTAAGACTCCTGTGACATCTATGGCCAAATATAAAGGCATTTCCTCCTTTTTCATATTTTACTTCCTTTCTCCACATAGGCTCTAAATTAGCCTCGGTTCTGCCAAAAGTAGACCCTGAGTTTTCCCAAAGGCAAAAGCAGAGCCTGAGTTTCCACAAAAGCAAAGACTTATACAACAGAGTTCATTTGCAAATGTGATCCCAGCAAGCAGGTGGGAGAGGGACCAGAAGAGTGAAATATTGAAGATGGGAGAGGCAATAGAGTATTATCAAGTTGGCCATGGCTACAAGCAACCAGTTCTCAGAATATTCTGAGAAGCTTTATGAAATATGTCTTAGAACCCTCCAGAAGGATCCAGAATAAAGGGAGAAGCATTTATCCCTGGGCTTCTATTGCCAGTTTGTCAAGCTTTGGCCTATGGAGCTTCAACTTCCTTGTACTTCTGGATCTTTGACGTGGTCTGAGGCAAGAAGCAAGAGCCACTACAGCAATAGCAGTAGTATTTGAAGTGGTACATGAGATGTCCAACACAGGCTTTTATTAAAAGATCTCATTAAATCGTACCATTCTTGGTGTCTATTAAAAATCGATCAAGCAAAAAAAACACCTTGTAACCTGTCAGAATTGTAAGCAGTTTAAGGTTGGTCTAATCCTCCACCATGACTTTTCCTTATTTTTGGTCTTGGATCTCCAGCTCTTTTCCTTTCATCCTCTGTTGTGAACAGGCCAGTCTCACTCTTCCTGAAGAAAGCAATGTTCATTTATGCCTTCATCCCTTTCAGTTCCATCCACTTAAAATGCTTCTAGTCCATTTCAGAGCCCTGAAAAGCGATTTTATGGCCCTTCCAGTGATAGCTTGTGTGGAAAATGCTTTCCTGTGATAGCATTAGTATAAAGTAATACTTTTATTTGTCTCTGATCCCCTTGGTAGCTAGGAAAATTGAAATTTAAATGATCTTGCTAGTTTCCTTTTTTTTTTTAATGGACATGCAGAATTTGAAATGAAATTGAAGAAAAGATAATGGCATAGAATGGTTTGATGGTGTATATTGTAAGTGTATTGATTTCAGAATGCATTTATTGTCTTCAAATAGATAACAGTTGCTTGATTGTTCTTAACTATATTTTGAAACAGTAGACATATATAGGCCTCAACGACACAAATTGGAACATATTCCATTAAAAAAAAATTATCAATTTTCTTCTTTTGCTGCTTTTTAAAAGTGCATAATCAAGCACTTTAGGAGATTTTGCAGTTTAATTTCATTTTTCAAATGGTGTAGCTGAGGTGTAGATATATATTTGTTTGTGCCAGAGTTGATACCATCTCCAAAGTGATAACTTCTGAGTATATCAGACTAAGTTATTTTTCTCTCAAGTGTTTCTTTAACATGTGGCTCTACGTCACTTTTCCTTTTTTCCCTTGCCTGTCCTCGTGATTTATAGGTACTTTGCTCTGCAGGCACTTCTGTAAAATTTCAGAATGAAGTAATTTTAGTAAAGTGTGCTGGACCTTTCTTCTTTAGTTCCATGGTACATTAATGTTTTCTTTATTTAGAAACCTCAAATAACATCTTATGTCACTTGCATTTTATTTATTAGAACTTAATATACACATCCTTTTTCATTTCATTTATATACTTGGTGAAATTAATGATTTTAAGTTTCTATGATTATTGCTTTGCTACATTTAAACATGTTTAATAAATCACTGTAATTTAAAAATAATCTCTGCCTCCCTAGGCACTAATGTTTCTTTTATTATAATAGCATGATTTATTAAAATTTGTTAGGTGTAATTCATTATGTAAGTTACATAGATGAATCATGTCTTTATTAGCTAAGTAGATAATTGAGCTACTTTTCAGAAATGAAATATTCTTAAATTAAGTATTTCAGGTAGTTTTCAGTGGTTTGCAAAGATTGATGTTTTGAAGACTTATCAGTCTGTTGTGTTAAGGAATTTTCCCTCTGAATTAATTTGGTGTATGGCCTATTGCTTGTTGGCCAGATAGGATATTATTTTGAATTTATATGTGACTGCTGTGACTTTCACCAATTCTTGCTTTAGTAGAGCAGACTTACTATAAATAATTTTGTATAATACATTTATAATATTTCATGTTAAATATGCTCTTCCTGGATACATGTTATAAAGCCATGGCTCTGGGAACTTCTTCAACTCTCTTCATTTTTTCTTTTCTTTTAGGATTTTCCTGTTGAACTGGTCATAATTGGAATAGCTTTACTACTGCTACAGTCTCCGGCAAGTCAGCAGAAGCCAATCTTAAGTCTAGGTAAATAAAAATACGCTCATAAGAGTAAAACATAGTGGCTGACCCTGTGGCCGAGTGGTTAAGTTCGTGTGCTCCGCTGCGGTGGCCCAGGGTTTCGCTGGTTCGAATCCTGGGCGTGGATATGGCACCGCTCGTCAGGCCACGTTGAGGCAGTGACCCACATGCCACAACTAGAAGGACCTGCAACTAAGATATACAACTATGTACCGGGGCGGTTTGGGGAGATAAAGCAGAAAAAAAAAAAAAAAAGATTGGCAACAGTTGTTAGCTCAGGTGCCAATCTTGAAAAAAAAAAAAAGAGTAAAAAATATAATATGAGTGTTGGCAGAAGTCACTTGAACTATTTATCATGCTATGCTATAAAGTCATTTATACTTTGAGTTTCCACTAGGGAATTTTTCTAATTAATAATTATCAAATAGAACTTTTTTCTTCTTACCCAACAAGGTGTTTTGTGCAAGTTTCCAAACACCTTAATATGCCAAGTATCTCAGCTGGACGTTAGAACATTATAATCTAAATAATATAGCAGTAACATTGGAAAATATGTTAAAGGCCATATCAACTTATTCACGGTTTTACGGCAAACTGAGAATCAATACCATAAAACCCTTGAAAGAAAATAAGTGTTCAGCATTTGTCTTTGTTTTTAAAACTCTCTATACCTTTACTATTCAAAACTGGTGCCACAGTGAACAAGATTTAATTTATAGTTATTGTATTAACTTAGCTAGAACAAATGAAAAATAACATTCTTGTGGCTATCTAGTATTGATTTGAAGAAAAGTGAAGGTAAGAAAGTGAAAGGGTGAAGAAAAGGTGAAGAAAAGTGGGGTAAACAATCAAGTTGCTAGGTCTGGCAGATTGACAAACAAGTCACACCTTTGAAATGCGGCTTTTACCTTAATGTTGCCTTACTTTCCTTGGTCCAACATAAGCCACCTGGTAATGGAGGATCTGTCTTATCATGTTGCGTAGTGCCATGATGCATTGATACATTCCCACCCTGACTTTAAAAAAGTGCTTGAGGTAAATAGCAATTGTGTAGCTCATTCTTCTGGGCGTTTTAATGCATCATGATTTTGAGGGTGTTGCTCTTCCACTTACAATCTGTCTTCAAAATGGCTTTACCGTGCAAAACGGACCCTTGGCTCTTAGGCTGTGATTCCTACCTTGCTTTTGCCAGTTGGTGTTATGCTCATTTTTGCCCTCCTCCCTAGTTCCTTTCTAAACTGCTTTTTCTTTTGTCTTTCTTATAGCAGTGCGCATGGCATCTTCCCATAGGTGTAATTTACCAGTTCTGCTACTTAGACAGCCATAGTTTTGTTATTTTTTTAAAAACAGCTTTATTGAGGTTAATTTACTCACTATGAAATTCACCATTTTTAAGTGTACAATAAAGTGTTTTTTAGTTGTTGTGCAACCAGCACCACAATCTAGTTTCCAAAACCCCCCAAAAATTTCTTGTGCCTATTTGCAGTTAATCCTCATTCCCACTCTCAGCCCCAGACAGACACTAATGTGCTTCCTTTAAATTTGCCTTTTCTGGATATTTCTTATAAATGGATTGTATTTGTTTTTTGACAAAACCAACCAAAGTCCTATAGAAACCGCATTTCTACTTCTGAATCTACACTCCTTTATTGTGGCTCACGTGTGGTAGGATGATACTGGATCAAACACTCCAATACTTTTATTATGTGTTGCATAGCAGACTTTTTCTTTTGTTAACTAGTGTCTTTGATTTAAAGTTACCTTAGTTAGATTGAATAAACTGTATTGAAAACTATCGAGCCAGTATGTCATATTGAAAAGTAAGGAAGAACTGTTGTTTAGTATATTGGGAAAGAGTATTCAAAAAAATAGGATAACCAAGAGAATATTGATTATTTCAAATTTAAAAAATGCATAGCATTAATATAATATTATGCTTCTTAATTATTAACATTAGCCTTGATTGTAAATAGCAATTTATCAGAATGCCTGGAAGATTAATAATATAAAATATAGAAACATTTGTATTATATGAGTTTCCTGTTTTGTTAAAGATAATGGATTTTCATAATATCTCAGAGGTAATTATGGATTAAGACTAACATTAGGAAAAAATGTAAACTAGTAGTGTTAGAGTAACAGGTATTTGTACTTGATACCACGTTCAGGTTTGACTTCCAAATGACTTAAAATACTGGCAACTTGTCGACATGATTTAAGGCTTTTAGAGTTTTTTTGGTGTAGTGGGGAAATCACTTGATTACTTTGATAATCTAGGTCTGAAGCCTATGAATAACATCTTTCAGTAAATCAGGGTTCCTTCAACAACTGAAAAGGATATATTTATGCCTTAACTCATTCTGTTAATAGTCTAGGGGAGACTGCATGTAACCAAGTTATTGTGCATTTGTATGTATGTTTCTGATGTGTAAGATGAATTTCCATGTTAAAAAAGGAATCATTTATAAAAATGGCTTTGCTTATTATGCTGCTTATGGATTTTGAGACTTCCCTGATCAGCTTCTTAACAATTACAGCTGAAGGACAGCCCTGCTTCGCCTCCTTTACTTATGCATCCCTTAATACGGTTCTCACTGGGTTTGTAAGGGAAGCATGCATGTTGGTCTTGTTATCCTCTGATCAGGACTTTGTAGTTTCTTGGCTGTATTTGTTGAGGGCAGTAGTAGGATCTGAACAGAATATAAGGACAAAAGTTGAACTCTATTTTAAAGAAATTCATATTGACCTAAAAAAGAGTTGATTTATACTTTGATATATGATATGGGTTTTCTCTAAGAGTATCATCAAACTTTCACTTATATACATTAACAGCATGTTTTAGATAATAGTTAATTTTTGTGTTCCTTTTATTTGTAAAAGGATAAGATTTATTATGTTAGTTATGTGTCTGACCCAACTGTAAAGGGGTAAGAAAACTTTTTGCATATCACTGTTAAACAAAGTAGCATTTTGTTTGACTGAGGTATTAATTTTTGAAAATGTGCATTGTTGTTTTGATCAATAGCTTTGAAGCTCCTCTCTTTTGCTGAGGGTCAGAAAATCCCAAAGTCATCTTTGCTGCTAGTGATGCCAATTCTGCAGATATTATCTTCTACTGCCTTGGAAGACTGTATCTCCATGGATGAGGAGGGCCCCTCTAGGCAGCAGTTGGCTCTAAACCTTTTGGAAATGGTGCAGCAGGAGTGCTACAGAGATGACCACCAAAAGGTAGTGAATTCATCCTTGGTCCTCTTAAATAGAGTTCAAGTAGTCATATGGGGTCACCATGGGATGATCTCTGCAGATCACCTCACCTCCTGATGAGGTATGTGTTTAGGTTTGAATTCTATCATTGAGCTTTACCATTCTGTCAGGCGGTGGTGTAGATGGTCATATATTCTTCTGGACTGAGAGAGGAGGGTAGTCCTGTTGTGAAGCAAGTTTTGGAAATGCTGTGTGACTTTTTTTCCTCTTTGGGTTTCTTGTGTACATTAGTAGTTAGAGGTCCTGAGGAATCCTGTGGAAAAGGAACTAGTTCTAATTTAAACTAGTGCTTCTCCAAGCATGGAGCATGGAATCCTTTTATACTCATTAGTTAAGTACAGCACATTGCTACATCTTCGACAGTCCAAGGTGAGAAATCTCCTCGAATGCCTGGAAGTTCTGGGATCCGTAAGAAGTAGGACTTCATTTTTGAATATGGCACCTTTTGCCACATTCCCTGGCATAATGGCTCTTGATGTCTCCTGTGTGTGCCCTACTCTACTGCCTTCAGTTGGAAGACAGCAGGCCTGTCACACTCCATTCCTATTCCTGTCTGTAGGCATACCTCATTCTGCTTTGTCAGTCTCACTGTTCCTGTTACAGTAATGTAAAATATGGCAGTGTCTTCTTGGTGGCTGGGTTCTTGGCCTACATTTGTCAGACTTTTTCTTTTTTGGTTTTTGAGTTTTGCCTTTGGTAACATGTAGTATTACTTCACAACTATTACTTTTATGGAGATTGAATGAAAATTAAAGAAGATGAAACTGGTGAAGTATCTTAAGTCTCCATGGAGAGAAGCATTCTGTGAATGCAAGCTAGAGCCACAGTTGTTTCATCTGCAAAAGCAGAGATACTTCTAATCATGCGTCGTTAAATGTTCTACCAAAAATCCGGGCATTGTTATTCCTTGTTTGAGCATGCAGCAGTAATAAGCCTATAGGCAAATTGAATGTATACTACAGGCTCCTGAGTCCTGTTTGACTAAAACTTTAAAACTTGAAATAGGTAATTGATTTGCGTTAAAAGAAGGAAGTTCTTGCCTCTGCTGTAATAGGAGCACAAAATGTGGCCAAAAATTTCCAACAGCGTTTTACCTTTCCTCTTGGTTTGCCCATTTAGAACAATGACTGGACTCTGAATGGTCATGGGGCAGGGCAGGATGTAGTATGTCTGAGTTCTGTTCCTTCAAATCCCGAGTGCTATTTGCTGAGGATCACCCTAACTCTAATACGTAAGTACTCAGCTTACTGTTTGCTCAGGTGTGTGTGAATCACGTTCATCACTAATAGCTGGACTTTCTCTTCAGCAGCTGGTGAAGAGGGCGGAGGAAGGAATATTATTAGGGCTATAAATATCCTCCTGCTGACAGTGTGCTGCTTTACTGAGGCTTTGAGTGGATATGTGATCACCCTTTTTAAACATTTAAGCCGCAGTTGACTGTTGGCTTTTCTTCTGCACCTGTCCAGGACTCTATATTCCAAACATACTTATAAATTTAACATGCTCCAAACTCTCCAAGTCTCTACCTGAATCTTTGCTTTTGCACATAATGCTCTTTTGTCTCCTTTGCCTGACTTACTCATTCTTCAAGACTCAGCCAAATGTTCTCAGCCTCCCTGAGTCAGAATTCCTTACTCTCTCTTCTTTGCGTCCCCAGCACTTTTAGCATTACTCAGTTGTGTTGTGTCTTAATTTAGGGAGTTACATGTTTGTATCTCCAACTATGCTATGAGCTCATTGAGAGAAAGGATCTTGGCCCTTTTCACACTTTGCCTTTGTTTTGTAAGCATGTTAAAATGTAAACTGCAACAGTTGTTGAACTTTTTGTATTTTTCCACATGAGCAGTCTCTGCTTTATCTTTTTCAGCTGATTATAAATGAGAGAATTAAAAATATTTGTTAGTTGTAAAATTGGATACTCTCTTATTTTTCGTATACTTAAAGAAATAGACAACCTTCGAGCTTATTTATCTTTGCATCCTCAGTACCTGACCCACTGTGTGCTACGTGGTAAACCTTCAGTAAATGTGTGCTTCTAAGAATACAGAAGATCATTTTACCATCTCGACTTATTACAGAAAGACCTTTGCATAAATACCACAAATCTTGTTTTTATTTTTCTTATTTCTTTTTAGATTGGTGACATTATCTTAGAGTGTTTGATTTAGAACTAGAGCAATTCTTTAGAAGCACAATTCTTCTGGTGCATGAAATCAAGGGTAAATATCCTGTGCCATGCAATTCTGTATCGCCTATCCATTCTGAGGTGTTGATAACCATGAAATAAGACACGTTTTAACTTCTTCCAATTTTTAAGAATTAAAAAATATAAGACATAAAACCAGCCATTTATCTCTTTAAAATAAAAGATTAACATAATCTAATAAGCATTTTATTTTATTTATTTTATTTATTTTTTTGTGGAAGATTAGATCTGAGCTAACATCTGCTGCCAATCCTCCTCTTTTTGCTGAGGAAGGCTGGTGCTGAGCTAACATCTGTGCCCATCTTCCTCTGCTTTATGTGGGGGTCACCTACCCAGCATGGCTTGCCAAGCGGTGCCAGGTCTGAACCTGGGTCCGAACCGGCAAACCCTGGGCCGCTAAAGCAGAACGTGCACACTTAACCGTTGTGCCACCAGGCCAGCCCTGCATTTTATATTTTTTTAGTGGTGTGTAAAAAGCAGGATCCTTTTCTAGTAAGCTATTGAATGTGATATTTAAAACCACTTATTTGTGTTCTCTTAGATTTAAAAAAAAAATCAAATACTAGTTGTAAATTCTAATGTGCTTAAAATCCTGCTGCCCCTACCCCCAGAGAATGTGGGCGAAAAAAGAAAGAGTTAGGGTGCAGTCATGGGGGAGAAACAACACTGGTAATTTGAACAAAGAAAAACTTAATAAAAAGAATTATTAACTGGTAAAAGGTGTTTAATTACTAAAAGTTATAAAACAGACTCTAAGGAATATTGCAATAATAAATGCAAGGAGCAGCTGCTACTTCTAGAACTGGGGGTGAGTGTCCAAGGAAGGGACTGGGGATCTAAGAGGATGTCCCCCACCAAGGCTGAGATGGGACCTTGTTACATAGAATGTGGCCATAGCCTGCTGGATGGTGAAGTTTGCTGCAGTGCCACAGGCTGGAGCTGGTCTGTAGGAAGCTATCTCCTGGTGTGCGAGTGGGCTGGCATTGGCAGAGCTGGTCCACAGGAAGCCACTTGCTGGGGTCTCCTGCATGTCCTTGGCAGCCGTGGTAGGAGAAATCCAAGAAGCACACAGGAACCTGAAGCAAAGCCCTTCCTCTACTGTGTCTTGTGGTACCTCTCCTGTACCCTCTATTAACAAGGCCTGCCATTGCACTAGAGGGCAAAAGAGAAATGTTGACAAGGTGTAGATATAATATCACAAAGTAGGCCAAAAAGGATGTATTTGGAGCTGAGAGATAATACCTTGATAGCTGGCACAGCCAGTAAGACAGAATCAGGCTTTTTTTGGAGAGGAATGAAGGTGGATGGATGAGATGAAGTGGCGAAGAGACTTAAGAGCTAAATTGCTCCAGTTGTGTACTAGGGCAAGATCCATCTCTGTAAAACTGTTGTAGTCAACGGAAAGATTTAGAGATATCTTCACTGACCTACGGTCTATCATGCAATTGTTTATTGGTATTTTTGGATATAGTACTTCATGCAAACTTAAAGAAGGTATCACGAACTTCATTACCTGATAATAAAGCAGTGTCAAGTAGGTTTTATTCAAAGTTGCTTTGAAATAGGATATAGTAAGCAGAAAGCATTTTGAATATTTCTCTCTCAAAAATGATAAAGTTTTCAATAGATTGTTCTTGACCTATTTATAGCTAAAATTAACATTTATTGAGGGGCTGGCCCCGTGGCTGAGTGGTTAAGTTCATGTGCTCTGCTTCAGTGGCCCAGGGTTTTGCTGGTTCGGATCCTGGGTGCGGCCATGGCACCACTCGTCAGGCCACGTTGAGGCGGTGTCCCACGTGCCACAACTAGAAGGACCCACAACTAAGATATATAACTATGTACTGGGGCTATTTGGGGAGAAGAAGCAGAAGGAAAAAAAGGAAAAAAATTTTAAAAACAAAAGAACAAAAAAACATTTATTGAGCATGTGCTCTATGTCAGGAGCTGTTATGTGGGTCATGCTGCTGTGTGGCCTTGGACTAATGATTGAAGCTCTCTGGGCCCTGACAAAATGAGCAACAACGCATCTGCTTCATGAGTTTGTTTTTTGAGCATTTCTTATGTTCAGTCTCCATTTCTGAGTGCTTTGCTATATAATAAGTCATTTGATTTTACCCCAGACTCTTTGAAGTAGGTGATATTCTTGGTCTCATTTTATCAAAGAGGTAACTGAGGCAAAGTGAAGATAAATAACTTGCCAAGGGTCATGCAGTGGGAGCCTTATTTTTTTTCCGAATAGGTTTATTGAGGTAAAATTCACATATATACACTTTACTCATTTAAAGTGTACAATTCAATGTGTTTTAGTATATTCACAGAGCTGTGTATCTATCACTGCAATTAATTGTAAAACACTTTTGTTACTCCAAAAAGAAACTGTACTTCCTAAATAATATTCCATTGCAAGGATATACCACATTTTTTATTTTTCCATTCATCTGTTGCTGAACATTTGGGTTGTTTTCGCTTTTTGGCTATTATGAACAACACTAATTATGAACATTCCTGTACAAATTTTTGTGTGGACATATGTTTTCATCTCTCTCGGGCAGATACTTAAAAGTGGATTGCTAGATCATACGATAACTCTATGATTGTTTGAGGAGCTGCCAGACTCTTTTCCAAAGGGGTTGTACCATCTTACAGTCCCACCAGCTGTGCATGAGGCTACCAGGTTCTCCACTTCCTTGCCAACACTTGTTATTGTCTGTCCTTTTGCTTCTAGCCATTCTATTGGGTGTGAAGTGCTATTTCACTGTGGATTTGATTTGCATTTCCCTGATGATATTCTTATAATACTCATTTTACAAGTGAAGAAACTGACATTAGAGAGGTTAACTAACTTGCTCGCATTACACAGGTAGTGAAGGGCAGAGTTGAGATTCAGATTTTGGCTATTTGACTCGAGAGCCTACATCCTGTTGCTTCCACTTTGCCTTTTTTTTGGTGCACAGTAATTTTTCATCTTTGTGCTAAACTTGGGAGTAAATAATGGAGTTTCAAATTTACAATGAAACAGTAAATCAAGAGTAAGTTGAAGTAAACTGGTTTCTTAAAAGCTTTTGGTTGGAAGTTAAAAAGAGTGAGTAAGTCCTAGATCTTGTGCTTCTATCATTGTCTTCTGAATACCGTGGCTACTGAGGATGGTTGAGTTGTCTTTTGGTGATAATCAACCACTCCAAGCCCGTCAACTCTTGACCGGATTCTTCATAGAGGAATAGAGCAGAAAACCCTCTTGGGGCTTTATCTGGTCCAGTCTTCTGCTTCTGGTCTGGTGAGTGATTAAATCCCTTCTAGCAAAAACCTGTCCTATTTTTAAGCGTCTCTAGGTTTGAGTTTCCGGACTCCCTCTCCTGATCAAATCCTGGTCTCACTGTTGTTAAGCCTGTTTTAGTCACTATTATAGATGAGTGTTATTCTTTAAAGTTAATGAAAATCTGTGTTCACTTGTGCTCACAATTTCTTTTTCAGACATCTTTAGACAAAGAAGTACTATCAGATGTCTGTCTTATGTTAATACTTAATGTACCTGAACATTTCTATTAAAATAAAGCTTCTCAACTCTTTTACTTCTGTGAAAGATGTTTTACAACCATTTAATATTCATTTAAATGTTATTTTTCTGTGGTTTCTTTTCTCTTTTATTTTCTATTGAGATGTAATTCACCTAACATGGACTTCTCTTTTATTTCTGAACACCTTTCTCCTCTAAAACACAGAGCCGACCAGCACTTTCGCAGGTCCTCTCCCAGGCTGTGGGGCCAGGATTTGGTAGCTGGTGCTGAGAGAAAACCCTTGGTTGTATCCTTGCCCTGGGACTGTGCCAGTGGCAGCTGTCACTCATTGGGACAGAGGGCCCAGTCTGTGCTGTCTTGTTCAGCATTGTGCCTTTCCCCTGCTGCTCTAACGTTAGGCACACAAACAAAAAGCAGAGCCTAAACCTGGATATAATACTTCAAGTAAAGTAGGATTGCTTTTCTGTTTCAATGTTGACTCTCACATGTCTGTGTAATGTTGCTGCTTTTTACTCAGTTTATGGTTTATGATGATTTCCAATTATGTTCTTTCACACTCATATCCACCAGTTTTATATGTCTCTTCTAAAGATGACAGTGATAATATTTCCCTGTATTTTGCAACTTTAGGTTCTATGCTACCTGCTTTATGATCTTGTCTCATTATCTACCTCAATAATCTTGGCAGGAAGGTAGTCATTATTTCCATTTTACAAATGAGAAAAGTAAGGCTCAGAGCTTGCATAGCAGCCAATAGCTGGCATGGCTGTGCTGAAGTTCTGGCCTTTTAAATCTCAAGTCCAATGCTGTTTGTCATTAGTCTAAAGATCTTGACTCTAGTCTTTAATGGATTTCATCTTGGGGAAAAAAGTGTTTTTAGAGAGCTAGAGCTAACATAAATTTAGGTACTATCTAATTTTTAAAATTTATAATTTCCATAATTTATAATACATTAAAATGGTTCAAAAATTTTAAAATGGTATGCAATGAGAAGTCTCCTTCCCACCCTTGATTCCTGTTTTCCAGTACCCACCGTCTCAAAGAGAAAATGAAGATTAGTGGTTATTAATTTCTTCTCTGTCTAGATACTTTTCTTTACATATGTATGCAAATACAAATATATAGTCTCCTGCCATCTTCAAAAGAATAATTGGCAGCATTCCAGGCACATTCTCTGTATCTTCTGTTTTCATGTGGGAGATCTTTTCATATCGATAAAGACAGAGCTTCCTGGGGCCGGCCCCATGGCCGAGTGGTTAAGTTCCCGTGCTCTGCTTCGGTGGCCTGGGGCTTTGCTGGTTCAGGTCCTGGGCGTGGACATGGCATCGCTCATCAAGCCAAGCAGAGGCAGCATCCCACATGCCACAACTAGAGGACCCAAAACTGAAAAATACACAACTTTGTACCAGGGAGCTTTGGGAGAAAAAGGAAAAAATTAAAATCTTAAAAAAAAAAAAAAAATGTTATCTCCATTCTTAAGCATATACTCAAGATAACTGAATCCCTGTGTTCTCACAAAAACTTTTACAGGAATATTCATAGCAGCATTATTCGTAATAGCGAAGAAGTAGAAATAACCCCAATGTCTGTTGCTTGTTGAATGGATAAACAAAATATGGTATATCCATACAAGGGAATATTATTTGACAATGAAAAGAAATGAAGTATTGATAGAATCTGCAACATGGAGGAACCTTGAAGATATGCCAAATGAAAGAAGCAAGTCATAAAAGACCACATATTGTGTGGTTTCTATTGTATGAAATAGCCAGAATAGAAACAGAAGTAGATTTGTGGTTGCCAAGGGCTGGATGGGGGCATGGGGTCAGGGGGAATGAAGACCGACTTAATAGTTATGGGGTTTCCTTTTGGGGTGATGAAAATGTTCTAAAATTAGATAATGATGATGGTTACACAATTCTATGAAATATTAAAATCCACTGAGTTGTCAACTTTAAAAGGATGGATTTAATGGTATGTGAATTATATCTCAATAAAGCCATTATTAAAAAATTTTATAAAGCTTAACTTTTACTTCCTATCCTTTCAATTGTTATCCTTATCCATGTAAGTTAGTCTCCAATAACAGGACAGTTATGATCTAGAGATTTCTAATTTATCTCATCACACTCTAAATGAATTGAATTACTCTGTTAGCAGGCAGTATCTAATGCTTCCTTAATGTCTGTGGCTTCTCCTGAGCCGTAGGCATGCAGCTCACCTTGGCAGAGTTCCATCCATGCTCTGTCCCTGACTGCACTACTTCATTTCTGCGAGGAGCCGTTTCTCAGATTGACTTAAGTGTAACATCTTCTTTGGGTATCATTTCAATTTAGAGCTGTCAGGCTATTTCTTATTGCAGAAGTTATTCACAATTATTAATGAATTCCCAGGCTCCAGCTGAACCAACTCTGTTCCTATTAACATACTGTCTGTTACAAAAATGAATTGTCCTCAGTCCAAGTCTGCCATTTGCCCAGGGTTGCTTCTTACCAGAGCCTGGAGCTGGGCAAATATAGTGGTCTTTTTTCCATCTTTCCTCTAACTGGTGAATACTTTTGTAGTGGTAATGGCTTTTTCCAAACTCTGTTGCCTCTGGTTCTTGTATGTTGATCCATTTTATTCTGCCTTAACTGGGAGCAAATGGTAAATCTGAGGAAGAGTTGTAATAAACTGTTCTAGAGTTCCACCTAACAACTGTTTTCTTTTTTGTGTAATCCTATTAGCTCAAATATGTGCAGAGAGATTTTTGGCAGGAATTGAACATTTTGTATTCATTTTGTTGGAAGGACTAATTTCTTACAATGATATATAACAAATGAATGTCAGAAATATATTTCTGACAAATGTATTTATCTCATTTATTCATGCCTTTTTTGTGCTTGTTTTTCAGCTCGCCTACAAGCTTGTGTTGCCCATAACCAGCATGTATGGTTCAATATTTACAGCCTGGAGAATCCTTAAAGTAATGAGGGAAGAGTCTGCGGCAAGAGACTGGTTGGCTGCAGTAGAATCATTGCTCCCCATTACTACAGTGATCCCTGGGCATGTTTTTCTTCTGCTGGCTCACCTCCTTGTGGAAGATAAAGGACAAAATCTTCACCAAATACTGAAGGTCACTACAGAATTAGCCCAAGCAGATTCCTCTCAGGTAAAACAAGAAAATAATGGAACAGTAACGGGGGTAAAAACTTAACTAATAGAATTGTAGATTTTTCTTATATTGTGGATGAAATTATGGTTTCATAATTTATGAAATTGTAGTATTTCATTTATTTACTCCGGTATCCTTATAAACATTATTTTTCATGTATGCCTTGAAATGGAAAACATTGGGAAGCACTAGATTGACCATCCGGGTTCATTTATTTATTCAATAAATGTTAAGAAGCAGTGGTATAAATTGAAGTCAGTATGTTGGATCTGTGTTGATTATTTCTTGGATAGTTTTGAAAGAAATGAGAAAACACTCAGTGTAATTGGGCTGTTAAGATGAATTGTAGGGTGAAATGCTTAAATATAGTTAGCAAAATTCATGCATAAGCAAAGGCATTATCATTAATAAGAACTTAGAAGTGGAGTTATTTAAGTCCTTTGGAAAGGACAAAAGAAATGTCCTAGCAGTAGAAGATACTGTTCTTTTTTCCTCACTTTTCCTTATGAAGTGATCATATCATTTCATTTCACTGGCCTTTAGCTACAAGATAAAGCAGCCAAAAAGAAAGCACTGAATATTTGAAAAAGCAAGTTTTCTAATTGTGAGTGGATGCTTGGAGGACATTCAACTGGAACGAGTTAGGATTATAATCTATTATTGGTCGAGCGTTTTCTATTTCTTTCTTTAAGTTGACAAGACTGCATGAAATGTATTCCTACTTCATGTGTGTTTGTCCTTTCTCACCTGATAGGAAGAAGCTATATTTTATTGAAGCAATCATTGGCTCAAATTCATGAGGGAGTTGATACTAAAGAAAAGTCTTAGATGACTCATAAGCAGAGGCTAGGTAACTAGGAAGATAGGAGTAGGAATTTAGAGGCTGTCTCCCACCTCTGTGTTGGTAGTCACTTAATCTCTGGAGTAGAGTTCGCTGGCCTGCAATACGCTTACCTAAGTAAGTATCGTGTTTGCGTGACACCTTGATTTATTGGATGAATCTTACTGTAACACCTTGTGAGAGAAAATATTTGAAAAGTTTGAAAGAGATGTGCCATTTATGAAGTATGTGTTGGTATGATTATTATTAATTCTAAGATATTAATAGAAATTATTTTTAGTAGCACTAATTAATAGGCAGTAATACAAATGATCAATATCAGCTAGTAATGCTATATTAGTGTTAATAATGGTAAGAAAATGTGCTTTTAAAAAAATGTGATTAGCTTATTTCTTACTTAACATGCAGTTTGAGGGCTCCCCTTTCCCCCTAAGGTGAATTTTCTTTTTTTAAATTATTATTATTATTATTATTTTTTAATTAATTAATTTATTTTCAGATATACATCATATTTTGAATTCTGTGTAGATTACATCGTGTTCACCACCTGAAAACGAATTATAGTCCATCCCCTCACATGTGAGCCTCATCACCCCTTTTGCCCTCCCTGCTCCCCCTTCCCCTGTGGTAACCACCAATCCAATCTCCAGTGCTATGTTTTTTTTCTGTCGTTTTTATCCCCTAAGGTGAATTTTCATCCTTAATCTTTTACCTGGTTCCCCTGGGGCATGCATTTTCCATTAGGTTTAAGACATTTAAGGCCATGGAAGACTAATGGGTCTAAGTAGTTTGAAGGGAACTTGGCCTTGTGAGTACCATTTTAGAGTTAACTGGTTACAGATGATGACGTTAAAATAACTGGATAGTTACCCAAAGCCACAACAATGAATTGAAACTTGAAAGGAAGAATAAGAAACTTTTTTTTTTCATATCCACAAATGCTGTCAGCAGTTACTAATAATCCTTATGGTTTTCTTACCCAGACATCATGAGACTTAATTTACAGAAGATATAAGCCTAGGTCAGATAGTGCTCAGTGAAAGTTAAGTGCCTTTTATATTCTTGGAGGGAATGTCTTAGAGCATTCTGGGGAGAGATCCAAGAATGAGCATCCTGTGTGAATTCCCATGGAAGTCTTGAAAGTTTCAAACACATTGATTTAGTTTAGAGAGAGGTTTTCATATCATAGTCTGTGCTTATAATAAATGAGAGCACCATTTATTTCCTAAATTAGTGTTTTTCCTGGGAATAGCAGTTGATAGATTCATGTGCTTTTTGGTTATGTTTATATAACAGTTCCTGCCTTTCTGATAACTGTGAGTAATGTTATTTTCCCACATTTTGATGTAAATCATCAGCCTGCCTTCAGAGACGCCTGAATGACAATTGAAGCACATGGCTTCATGGCTCATATACAGTAATGTCCAGTTGGCCTTATTCTTTCCTCTTCAGAGAGCTGTTTCCTACCTCTGTGATTTGTCCAGGATCTGGTCACATCTGGTGTGAAATCAGTGGTAGTGAATGTTAAATGCAGGCTCTATTGAGTTAATTAAGGGGTAATGTGGACCCTAGGCCTATATGAGGACATTTTCTGAACTTTATAGCTTTTTTTAAGGGCAATATCAAATTATATTTTGAACCCTTAGTCAATGATTGACCAACCTGTGTAACATGATTGTGGACAGTTTGGAAATGTCTGAGACTGATATAACCCCCTTAAGAAGAGGTTAATAACACTTAATCAATAAGTATTGATTGATTCCTGTCTCCCTATTTTATATGAGCCTGGCACAGTGATATCTCACTTGTTAAGAACCACATCTGGCCTGTGATCTACACTGTGTGCCTCTAATACACACTTTATAGGTGAGAAGAAAGGGATATTACTCATCTCTTAAAACCTTTTCTAATATCTATTAGCTTAGCTATATTAACTATGTTACTAGCTAATTATTATAATATTTATAGTAATGATGTAATAGATTATAATTATTTAATATGTTAAATATACAATAATTATTATATTAGCTATATTATTACCTATAGCTTCCCCATAGCTGTTGGTATCGAGATTTCTCCTAGTGAAGCATTATGTCCTAGAGAATAATAGGGGTGTTGGAGGAAGCTGTTTTCCATGTGGCTATGTAATTCTACAAAAGGCTTATATGAATTGTTAGATGCTTAAGGCTTTGTCTTATAAATATATGTAGAGAGAACACCTGACAAAAGATTATATTCTCTTTTGGAAATCAAGGCTACTTGTTAGTGGTTTTAAAACCTGAGAAAATGTGTTTTCTTCTTATGTTTTTACCTATATTGTTAAGTTTATGGCACAATTAAATACTTAGGCATCTGAATTAAACATTAACTACAAAGATTAGTAATTTTAAATAGATGTAGTTGGTTTAAAATGATATCTTACAGCTTAGTAGCTCAGCTTCAATGGAATAACTCTAAATACTACGTGTAGGGTATATCAGTTTCTTTTGGACTGATTTATAAAATGGGAATATGCCAAAGAGGAATTGTTTATAAACTTTGACTTTACAAAACCACAGGTTCCTTCTTAAAACCTACCCAATGAGGAGCTTAACAAATTAAGTTTTGTGAAATTCAAAGCATCTTCTAAACCCTTGGTACTTGCTTAATTTTCTCCTGTTTGGAAGTGGGAAATAGAGTTGTGCTTTTTGTTTGTTTGTTTTATGTTTACTTGCATTTTGCAACTCTGAGGGCTTTTACTTCCTTTTTACATTTTGATTGTGAAGTCTAGCTAAAGTTCCTGCTTAATGTGAACAATTGTAATCTTTGATAATCTAATTTTATTCTTTCTAATGTTTTCAGGGCTTAATTTTTTCTGTTTATCAAAGTGTACACACTTTTTAGCAATTTGAAATCACTTATTTGGCTAGGTTCATGGCCCATGAGTTGCTGGTCTTTTAAAAGTCATGTATCATCAAGTAGTAAAAAGCTGACTTTCAGGGCAGAATCCTGGGATGGTTCTACTCTCGGTCATAAGCCATATTTTAACATGGAAAATGAATAGGAAATGTGTGAAATTTAATGGTCTGTAAGTTACTGCTGTGAGAATAGAAGAAAATATATTCTATAAAAGAACTTACACAAAGAGTCCTGGGACCCTTTGCACTCCGTTCTATTGTCACTGAGTTCTGTGAATTGCTACCCCCTGAAGTCAGTCTGCTTCCTGTGTTCTTCACACCAGCAAAAAGAAGCCAGAATGTACAGTGCTTTTAATAAAGAGCTTTACAATAAGAAATGCTGTACTACTATTCCCTTGTAGGCATAGCATCGATTATGCCTAGAGCAAAATTGAGATGAGACTGTTGGCATGAGGCAATTAGACAAAGAGAAACCCAGACCAAAATGCAGGGTCAAGTTACCTATTCAGTCCTGTGGTAGTATGTTTATTTCTTCTTTATAAAACCCACATAGATATCTGTATACTAAAAATGTTTTTAACTGGCATTTGACCCTTTTCATGTTTTTCTATTTTTTTGCATGAAGCCTAGAATTATACTCATGGAAGCAGTTCTCTGTCAATTTCTTGCCTTTCCTGGGTCTTCATATTGGGCTGAGTTTCTTCTGAGGAGTCTGCATATTATAAATTGCTTAAAATTCTCATTGAAGGAATTGTTTGTGATTTTCAGTTCAACCCTATATCACTGTGACATTCACTAGTTTACACATATACCGAAACAAAAGCCATTTGTCTTGTTATGTCACTGAAGATGGAGTATCAGAAAGGATGGGAGTGGAGTTTGTTGAGGATGGGGCCCAGAAATGCATTTGTAACAGCATAGTCTCTGCTCCCAGTTGAATATCAGGTAGAGGTAGCTTTGTCTTCTGGCTGAAACTCTCTAAGGGAACTACCTACTTAGGATGGACTTCTGGTGTTGGTGAAGGACTCAGAGAGGAATCAGCAGATTTTGTGGTAACTTTGAATTTCATAACAGGCATCAGGAATTTTGCTCAAGGGGAAGATACACTGAAGTCCACCATTGCTAGAATAAAAGTTTTCTTATTCAGTCAGTGGATAGGGAAGGAAGAAAAGGTTATTGGTCCCCTGTCTACTTCCATCATGGCCAGACATCCTAAAGTGAAGCTGCTAGTTTACATTCCTTACCATTCATTTTTCAGC